AAGTCTTTGTAAATAGGGAAGGGAGGCCAGGTAATGGGCAAAAAATAAGAACCAAGATGCATCATGTAAAGGTACAAGTTCCCAATGAGAAATGTAATTGTGTTGTATACCTACAATGTACCAATAAAAGAATTTTTTAAAAAAAGAAATTATGGCTCATTTTTTAAAGATACACTCTTCTGATGTGGTATTGTAATCATATTGATAAAAATAATACTTTTCAGACTGGGGACGTAACTCAGTAGTAAAGCACTTGCTTAGCATGTGTGAAGCTCTGGATTCAATCCTTAGTACCGTAATAGTAATAATAATAATAATAATAATAATTTTTTTTGGTACTGGGGATCGAACTAGGGTCCTTGCGCTTGCACAGCAAGCGGTGAAACCACTGAGCTAAATTCCCAGCCCAATAATAATTTTTAAAGTGATCCTTTTCTATGAGATGAGATAATATGGTATCTAGAATTTGCTTCAAAATAGCCCCATTATTGATGTTAACTGGATTTGTATATTGGACTTCATTATGCTATTTTCTCTACTTTGTCACCTGTTTGAAAATTTACCTAATAAAATTTTTTCCTTTTTCAGTAAATATAAAATGGGGTTTACCACTGGAGTTGGGGAGAAAGATGCAGTATTCAGGGAGAGGCGCATTGAAGGCTTTCAATATCAAGATAATATTCTATTTCTTAAATGGTGTGCTCAGTGCTTGTGGTATTTTATTCTATATATTCAACAAATATTTCATAAACATGGCTTTGCATTGACTCGGTACTTATATAGCTATAAATGGAAAGAAAGAAGGAGTGGAGGAAGGGAGATAGGAGGAGAAGAAAGGGAGGGAGAGGGAAGAAGGAAAGAGGAAGAAAAAATGAAGCAAACGAGGGAGAGAAGGGAAGGGAAGAGAAAGGGGAGAAGAAGAAAAACTCAAAATTTGTGAGCTAGGAAGGAAGTGACAGGGTAGTGAGGGTTTGGACCCCATGATAACCCCTTTCCTTTTGCTACAGAGGCACAGCTCAGGAGCTGGCAGAGAGCAGGACCCTCTGAGCCCCATCTGGCCCCCATCCCAGCTCCATGACTCTTCATGCATTCTCTGCACAAATAAAGAGAACCCTCAATTCTCAAAACAAGTTGTCAGGGCCGGGATTTAGCTCAGTGGTGCCATGCCTGCCTTGCAAGTGCAAGGTCCTGAGTTCGACCCATGGTTACAAAAAACAAAACAAAACAAAATACTTGTCTCTGCTTTAAGTTTAAAAATCTATGTTAAAACTCAGAAATGAGACTCTCTACTCTTTCTCTTTGTGTTTCTAGTAATCTCTTTCATCCCTGAACTGCTGGATGCCTCCTTTTGCCTGGGGGTTTCTGGAGGATGGTGGGCCATGAATAGTGTGCTGGCTCTCAGCGGCCTCTTTGGATCTTTTGAGAAGTCCATTATGGGTAACTTGGGCAGAGAACTCACCAAGTTACAAACCAAAGACATACCCATATATATTAGATACATAATGTTTTATCTTAGCTGCTCTTAATTAAATAAGCTACAAAATAGTAACATGCACTTCAGGCTAAGATTTACAGGAAGTAAACCTTGTGGAAATAGAAAATACACTTCAAATGCATATATAACAGGCAGCATCTAATGAAACATAACCACTTTCTTTGGACTTCAGTGAGATTTCTATTAATAACAATCTGAAGGAACTCCTCTGATGACTTAAATGTCACATTAGCATTTTATAAAATTTTGAGAAAAAAAATATAGATCAGTTTGCCAAAACGTGTCACCTGCCAGTGATCCCCTCTGCTTTCCCATCCACTCAGCTGCACAAAGGTGACAGCTGTGGAAATCCGCAGTGGGGCCTGCCCGGAGGAGACAGAGGAAAGCGTTACCGTATCTCTTTCTCCCAAGGCTCTTGTCCACTGTCCTCTCAGAAACAGACCTCCTATTGCCCAGGAAGACCCCGTTGAAGAAGCACTGCTTCCCGACATGGTAGGTGTGGATACTGCAGCTGAACCTTGGGTAAAATGTCCACTCAGGTCGCTGCCCATCTCCTGTAAGACATCAGAGAACCCCCGGGTAGCACAACACCCGGGGTCAGGGTGCCAACAGGGGACAAAGCTTGTGAGAACTCCCCGGTGCTACCCAGCAGTACAGCTTTACCAGCCTGTGGGATTCCTTCATTCCACAATGTGGGATCAAAATATACAATGTGTGTTTAAATCTTTTAATTTAAAATTTGGTTACAGTAAAAGACACACTGCCATGAAACCCCTTCAAAATTGCCCCCCTCCCTTGCTTCGAACACACATATCCCATTGTTCTTGCGACTTTCTGTAGCAGTTCTGGAAGTCCCCTTTCGTGAATGTCTTTAGTTGTGCTGTCTTGGCTGCTTCCATGTTGTGAGTCTATTAAAAAGGTTTATGTTGGGTCAGGGATTTAGCTCAGTGCTGCTGTGCCTGCCTCACAAGTGCAAGGTCCTGAGTTTGATCCGTGGTACTGCAAAACAAAACAAAACAAAACAAAAGAAACAACAGGTTTATCTTTCATGGTCATTTTCACTTTGAGGAAGATCCAGAAGTCACGTGGTTCCAGGTCTGGTACCTAAGGTGGATGAGGACACACTGCAATGTTTTTATGAGCCCACCTCTTCAGGGGTGGCGCTCGGTGGGAGCATTCACTATATTTTTTAATGATACCTTATAAAGACACTCATGAAAGAGGACTCCCAGAAACACTGCAGAAAGTGCCCAGGAAGATGAGATAACTGTGTTCGAAGCAAGGGGGAATATTTTAAGAGAGATTGATAGCAATGTGTCTTTTACTATAATAAATTTTTTAAAATTTAAACATTTGCTGTTTATTTGGGCCACACCTCATACATCAGAAGTCAAGTCAACCACGAGGCACAAAAGGGCAGGAAGTGAGGACAGGGAAGCTTCCTTATAGGCTTCATATTTATTTCCTTTTTACCCTCTCCTTCAAAAATAAAGCTTGGAAAAAAATTTAAAAATAAAGCTTGGAAGTTGTATGTAGGTCGGGAACCACAGGGCCAGTCTCATAAGCACCGATGATCCAACCTGTGATCCCCTTAGATCAACGTTTGGACAAAACAGAAAGCGCATCCAGCAGGGAAGGGCAAGGCCACTTGTGGCATCCCAGCTGGGTGGGACAAGTGTTGGCACGTGTGTGTGCCTCAGGGACATATGCGTGCATAAAGCTGCCACGTGACAAAGACCTCAGGCCGGCAACTGGACTTCGGTGCCTATGTGGCCATTAACTTTTCTTGCAAAATTGCTAACAGTGACTTTAAACAATAAAAGACTCCCATAGCCCTAGGTTGCTTGAGCAGCACTGGGGACTGGAGAGGCCAAGAAAGCACAGGCTTTGGAGGCCAGTGAGTTCGGGTTTGAATCATTTGTCCCCCTCTGTGAAACAGTTAGGTCTATAGTAGCCACGTAGACCTAAATACACTGACAAGGAAAGAGGCCCCGGTCTATTTACTGTTGAGTGAGAATGGTTTGTATACTCAGACTTACTGACTTCGTGTGTGTGCATGCGTTGCGTAGCTACTGGAGAAAAGTGTCATTAGGGTACTTCACTGTTGTGTGACTGGCATGTGCTTACACAAACCGGATGACACGGGTCATCAGATGATATGGATCACTCGCTTCACGTGGCCTCTGAACCTGAGATATCTGAGTCAAGTGCCAGCAGAACATGGCACTGACTGACAAAAAGCTTTCCTTAATAGGTAGGAGGAATAGCCGCGTGTGGTGGTGCACCCCTGTTAATCCCAGCACTGGGGAGGCTGAGACAGGAGGATCACTGAGAGTTTGAGGCCAGCCTAGGCTACATAGTAGGTTCAAGGCCAGCCTGAACTATATAGCAAGGCCTATCTCAAAAACAAAATAATAAGTAGGAGAAATACACTCTAAAATAAAGGTTAAAAGTACATTATCATATAGGACACTGGGTATATAAGCCAGGAAGGCGGTCATTTGTCACCATGCATTAGGACTGTGTGTGCTATGCTTCCCATGCCTGCCAGCACAGTGGGCTTGCCACAGCCTTAGGACAGCAGTGAGGTCACTGGTGACAGGAACTCCTCTCCATGACAGCCTCACGGCCCCACCGTACATCACTACACAGCACAGACTGTGTGTGTCTATGGGTGGGGATAAAACACACATAGAGCAGAGGAAGTGAGTCCTGTCCCTGGCACAAGTGACTCCCGACCATGGCCCACAGAGGCAGAGCTGTGCAGGGTCCTGGCACGGAGGCTCATGGGGCATCTGTGACCACTCACTTGTCTGCAGCCTAAGCAGGACAAACTCCGAGTGCTGTTGAGCCTTGTGGGCCTCGGGCACCGAGGCTTCCAGGGAGGGACGGCAGCTCGAGGAGAAGGAAGAGGAGGAAGAGGACTTCTGGCCCGGATCCACAGCAGTGCTGGAGAGAAAGCAGAGGGAACAGAGTCTTCCACAGGCTCCAGCAGGAAACTCAAATCTGACTCACACATCCTACATTTCTCACATACAGAGCTTGGCCAACTCCTCTACAAAAGTCCCCAAGACACCCTTTGTTTATTCACAATGCAAGGGGGAAATGAAACATATTCAAAAGATAGATACACTCTTTAAATGTTTTAAGACAATTTGGTAGTTCCTCAAAAAGTTTAATATGAATCACTATATGACCCAGAAATTCTGTTAGATGTATATCCAAAAGAATTGAAAACAGAGACTCAAATACTTATACATGAATGCTCATTGTGGAATATCCACCATAGTCAAAAAGCAGAAACAACCCAAGTGTCCATCCATAGATAAATGGACAAACAGAAGTTGGTTTATAAACACAGTGGAAGATTATGCAGCTGTTAAAAGGAATGAAGTTCTATTTCATGTTACAATGTAGATGAACCTTGCAAACATGCTAACTAAAAAAAGCCACTGCTGTGCAAGCACAAGGTGGAGTTCGATCCCGGTACCAAAAAAAAAAAAAAAAAATGAATGTTTTGGGCCAGGGATTTAGCTCACTGGTTCCATTGCCTGCCTCACAAGTGCAAGGACTGGAGTTCAATCCCTGGTACCAAAAAAAAAAAAGAAGAAGCAGCCAGATACAAAAGGGCAAATATTATATGACCTCACTTCTATGAAGACCAAGTCATTTATAGGTCTCCAGGCTCTGAAGAGAGGGAGAATGGTGCCTTATTTCTTAATAGGTTACAGAGTTTGTATTTGGGATGATCAAAATGTTTTGAAAATAGACAGTTGTGAGGGTTGCACAACATTACAAGTATAATTAAACATGGATAAAGTGTTATATGCTATATATTTTTTATCATGCTGTTAAAAAAAAGGAATAACATACCAATCTTCTACAACACAAATGACCTTGACAACATTGTGGTAACAATGACACCAAGGACTACATGCTGATGACTTCATTTACATGAAATGTCCAGAATAGGCAGCTCTATATAAAATAAAAAGAAAAAAGAAATAGAGCCAGGAATTTAGCTCAGTGGTTCTGCCGCCCGCTTCACAAGCACAAGGTCCTGAGCTCGATCCCCAGTACCAAAATAATAATAGCAGATTTTACAAAAGAATAGTATATGTTCTTAATTGTAAAGTAAATATATTTAGAAAAATAAAAATTTTCTTATATGTTAAAAAACTAATATCAGGACTAGAGGTGTAGCTCAGGGGCAGAGCACTTACTTACTTAGCATGCATGAGGTTCTGGGTTCAGTCCCCCCTACCACAAACAGCAACATCAAAATGTTAACATGTCTTCTCTGAGATGTGGAATTACTGTGACTTTTAATAGTTTTTTATAATTTTAAATTTGCTACAGTAAGCTCACTTTTATTATAAATATTTAGAAAAGATTTTTCAAAACTCTTTACTGTTAAGGAAATGCAAAGCAAGTGGCAGAGTCAGGTTTCAAACCCAGACGTCAGACTCCAGATTCCATTTCTTGCCAGCCAGGCTGTGCTATCTCCTGGGCTAGGGACCTCTTGAGCACAGCTTCCACCAGCAGCCATGGCACCTCACCAGCCCTTACTTACACCAGCTGGGCAAACGTTCCAGGGACGCCTGAAGGCTCGCTGACCCTCAGACCTGTCCTTGCAAAAGGTGAGGAGCTGGCGCTCCTGCTGGGGGTTGTGGTGTCCACAGAGCAACCCTTGGATTCTGAGAGATTATCGTGGGTACCACCTGCAACACATCATTATCATTGCTTAGTCACATTATTCAAGTACCTGCCACACCCTGTTGATCCCTAGATTGTAAATCTCTTCTTTAAGAAAAACAGCTCACAATATTGCGCGGTTGCCATGTGCTAGGAGTGACCCTAACCCAGTACATGCCATATTCCATTTTATCTTCCTAAGGATCATAGATGCAGGAGTTATTCATCTCTCTATCACAAGAGGAGGAAATGGGCTCGGATTATGCAATTTGCTTGTGATTCATAGAAAATAAACATCTAGGACCAGGTTTGATCACCTTTCTTGTGACCCCAAAGTCTAAAATTCTAACCACTACACAGACTGCTTGTCCTACACTGCTTGTCCCTTCCACTAGGAGGAAGAGAAAAGACCTGAACCCAGCTGTCTGTCACTGTAGGCTGTATGGATCGTCTGAGGACAACTTTGCCAAGTGTGTGGCCTGCGAAGGACTGTGAATATAGCTGGTGGCCACGAGCAAAGGACTGCCCTTCAGAAATGTCTGGGTCTCTTCCCGCCTCAGATTCATCGACTACACACCTGTCCTTCGCACCAGACTCCATCATACTCGTCTTAGTAGCACCCAAAGTATTACCTGGCACTGAGTGCCAATCTTAACAAATATTTAAATGAATAAAGAATGATAGCTCCCCAATCACCCCCAATCACAAAAGAATCCTGAAAGCCAGTGACTGTCAGACAGAAGGAGTACCCATTATTTTAATTTTTCTATACAAGTTTTATTTTATAAAAGTCAATCTGTTCTCTTTTCATTTTATATGAGTGTGTGCCTTGTCCAATTATGCAAAGAAGGAAGATGAATAGACACTGCCTTTCTTCACACACAGCTTCATACACGCAGGAGCTCACAGGCTCAGTGTAACCTCCGGTTATAAGGAAATCACGAGGTGTTCCTGGCTTTTTAGACTAAGCACTGTGCCACCCACAAAGGCTCCGTGTCACAGGCAGATGGTGTAAGCTATGTACGCTCTGCAAATTCCCACCACCCAGCAGCAGAACTGTGACTGAGGCCCTTTATATCCATTTCCTCTAAAACTCACAGTGCAAGTGAATCACACCCATGCTTGTCAAGTCCCCTCCGTATCACCAAACTCTTTACTCTTAGGAAGACTTTGCGTGTGAGTCCAACAGACTTTAAAAACCAACTAGGCAGCCAGGGATTTAGCTCAGTGGTTCCGGCGCCTGCCTCACAAGTGCAAGGACCCGAGTTCAATCCCTGGTACCAAAAAAATTAAACAACCAACTAGGCTATTTCCTACCTTCAAAATCCTCCCATTCTGCAGTTTCTCAGAATGTGGTATAAGGACTATCGAAAGCCTGTTAAAAATACAGATTCCCAGATCCCATTGCAGCCCTACTGACTTAGAATCCTGCTAAGTGAGTCGTGGGAACTTGCCTTTCCCATAAGCCCCTACCCAGTAGCTCTCAGAGAGTTTGGCCCTGAGCCGTTCTCCCTCCCCCCGCAAGGCCAGTTCCTTTGCTGCATCACATCCCATCCTGACCCTGCCCAGCATTTCCCAGATTTTCGAGATCATGAGAATTACATTCGAGTTGCACAGCTCTGAACAGGACCTGTAGGAGAAACCCCAGGGTACAGTATGTTTAGGATGCACCTCAGGAGGAAAGTGCTATTCTGGAATGTTCTGGAACATTCCCCAGACCTCCGGGCAGCCCCAGGCATGGTAAGGCCCAGTGCTTGCTCAAGATGTGAGTCACCAGGTCAAAGCCAATCCCAGCAGAGGGGCAAGAAAGGAATAGAGCTGGCAGGAGAAGAGGACCATCCCTAGAAGCCAGAGGAGCAGGTACCCACTTACCAAGCCATAGAAGAAGTGTCAATAAATACAATACAAATCATGCTCTCTCACCACAATGCAAAACAATTATAAATCAATAATAAAGACAGCCAAGAACATCCACAACCTTTGGAAACTCAAACCACACTGCTAAATAATTCATATAAAAGAAGAAATCATAATGGAAATCATGAGGTGCTTAATGATCAATGGATGTAAGCACTATATATCAGAACCTGTAGGATTCAACACAAGCAGTAATTAGAAAGCTGGAATCTCAAATGCATACCCTGTATTTCACGGACTGTAAGACACCATCTATTTTAATATTATTATCTTAGCTACCACAAAGAACAAAGGTTGTCAATTCAAAACACAATGCCTTATCATTTAAAATTTTATATACTAATTGAAATATTCTTTTAGACTTTGAGATTTTAATCACACATGACTTATATAAAAAATAAACAGAAGCAAAGTGAATTGTTTACATTCAAAAGCCTGACAACTGATGTCCACCCTTCCACCTAATGCTGACCTCAGGGCAATGTGAACACAGGTGACAACATAGGTGACAAACAGTCTCTTAACAGAGTGGCCCTGCTGGCCTCTGAGATGTGCTGTCCAGCCACAGAGGAGCTCCGCAGACTTCACTGCTCACGAAACAAAGACCATGACAATGACTTCACATCTACAGGTCAGACCAGTCCCAACCTCAGAGAGGCCAACGGACAAGTGTCCATCTCAGGACATTACAACAGCATCATAGTGTTTGAGAACATAGGTTCCAAAACTAATGAGCTAAGCTCTCAATGGAAGAAATAAAGGGGGCAACAAAGAGCAAATCTCCAAAATAAGGAAGGAAATCACAAAATAAAAGCATAAATGAATAAAATAGGATTATCAGAACTACAGCTTCATTAAAGAACTAATTATGTAAATAAGTAAGAGTCAAGAAAAAAATTTAAAACACAAGTAAATAGTATTAGAAATGAAAATGAGACCATAATTACAAATATAATAGAAATAACTGTACAGAGAAATGAACTGAGTTCCAGAAATGTCAAATAATTCACTCAGGGTTACACAGCTATGGATTATAATTTATAAAATGCAGTTTACTATTGTAATATCTGTGGAACTCAAGATAATGGCTGCCATTTCTTTGGGCAGGAAGAACACCTTTCATAAGCACACTTGTCATCTCATGCCCTTTACAATAGTCTGCCTGGAAGGAAAAGAAATAATACATCCAGCTGTGACAGACCTGCAGTTTCCAGTTTCCATGCCTGGAATCCACTCAGCAGAGCCAGTGTGTGTGTGTGTGCACACACACACGTGTAAGTGTCTTTAATTGATTTGTGAGAAACTTTCTTCCCTCAAACCCATGGCTTCCATGTGAAGCTGAACTCAGACATGGTCTCCTGGAATGGTCACAGCCTCAGGACAGAAAAAGAAACTGCAGGCTTAGGATAAACACACCCTGGTGACCTAGGGCCTGGTGCCTTTCTGGTACCCTTAACTCAGAAGTATAGAGCCTCCCTAGCTCACCTTTAAAACACCAGCTTCCTCCTTTGCCCCCAACCAAATTGGAAACTGCAGGGAGTTCTCGGGCTTGAGGTTAGAATCCCAGAATCCTTTTCTTCTTCCTGTCCAGGCCACATTGGGGAATTAAAGGTTCTAACTCCTCCAGTTCTGCTGGGCCCACCCAGCTCACACCTGGGTGTGGGAGTTGTACCTCCCTGCTCTCTCTGCACTGAGAAGGAGAACCAGGAGATCACAGATCTGGGATCTAGGAGGGCAGGTAAGATCCGATAGGGCAAAGATGGGACATTCTCCAACCCCTTTTTGCTGCATGCGGGCCACTCACCTATACCAGGTGCGTGACATCCTGACCACGCACTCAGCCTGAGGTTTTCTGAGAGACTGTCACTGCCCTGCTCCATCCTGCTAGGCTCCAAAGGCCCATACATCCTCCTCAGTCTTGAGAATCAGTGCTGGAGCAGCCAGCCATGATGTAATTTAGCCTTTCCTTAAAGTGTTCACAATCTCTTTTGGCTCAATCCCAACCAATATGCAGTGCCACAATCTGAGCAAAGGGGAAAATGGAAGGGGATGGGCTCTGGAGACGAGGAGACTTGGGTCAAATCCCAGCCTTATCATTTATTAACCAAAGGACTTGGTGGGTCAAACCTCTGGCTCCCTCTACTCATCTGTGAGCTTGGGCCATTAGGAGACACAGGAAGGGAATTCACAAGAATCTCTGCTTGGATGGTGCTCTGTGCCTGATCAGATCTCGGATTCATACAGACAGAAGCTCCCAGCCAAGCAGCTCTTGTCATGTGCCCCCAAACTAGCTGCTTCACCTGGACTATGGGGTGTCCCCACTGGCCCGTATGTTAAATGCTGTCCTCAGTCTGTGGCACGACTGGAAGGTGGAGGTGGGGCCTGCTGCAGGTCCCTGGTCATTGGGGTGCAACCTCTTCTCCTTCCCACCTCCCAGCCATGAGGTGAGCGGTTTTGCTCTGCTGCCTACTCCCCCCAGTGTGTGCCACAAGCCCAAAGACGTAAACCTCTAACACTCCAAGCCAAAAGAAAACTTTCTCTTTAGAGGTCAGTTATCTCAGGCATCTGTTACAATGGCAGAAAAATACGCAGGCCTTCAGACATGGCCTCCTGGATTGAGTACACTCGGATACGGTAGGGGATTTGTCCCCAGCCCTCCTTCCTGATCCCTTAGAACTCAACTGTATCTCCTTTCTGCCTCGGTCACACCGGAGTCGCCATCCTCTGGAATCTTCTCCAGCTCTCCAGCACAGGCTGCTCTTGAGATGGAGGGAAGCCAGGAGCCCTGAGGAGCATTTCAAGAGTCCATGGACTCATCCTATGCACAGGGTTTGATTTTAAACATTCAAAGAAACCCAGCGACCAAGAGAAGACCTTTGTAAGAAAGGAGGCTGAGACAGGAGGATCAGAAGTGTGAGCCTAACCTAAGCAACTCAGGGAGATCCTCTTTCGGATTAAAAATAATAATAAAGGGCTGGGGAGGTGGCTCAGTATGAAGTCCCCGGGCTCAATAGGAAGGAAGGGAAGGAGGAGAAAGAAAAGTCATCAGTCACAACAAACATACTCCACAAACCATGGAAAGTTGAGAGGGCGGGGCTGGTCTCTAAATCAGAGACGGCCTCCTCCCAGCAGGCGGTTCTGGGTTCAGAATTCCCCGGCCTCTCCAAACTGGGCTCCTTCGCCACGTCTTTCCAGGGGACCCTGGGTCTCCCTCCAAGGGCAACACCAGGATGCGGTCCAGACCCACGCACCAACCGCAACCGAACTGCTGAGGACTGGTGGGGGAGCCCAGGGCCAGGGAGCTTGGGTGCCTTCATGTGCTTGGCAGGTTGCCCAGCGTTGCCAGGACACCGCATTGCCTGGATACCGCGTTGCCAGGATACCCCGAGACTCCCGCACTTCTTCGCAGCGTACCTGGCTCCCTGGCCTCAGAAAGGAAAGGGCAAGGCGATTTAGGCAAGGGCTCCAGAAAGGCCGCTTAGTGGTGTTTTTGTTGTTGTTTGTGGTTTTTTTGTTTTGTTTTGTTTTCCCACTTGTGGTTCTTTTCCGGGTCATTTTCTTTATTAGAAACGGTACCCTCTGGAGCAGTGAAAGATGCGCCCTTCCTTCACTGGTCTCTTCCTTCCGCACCCAGCTGCAGTTTTCAAAATAGAAAACTGACTTTGAGCAAGGGCTTGCTCAAGGTCACCCGGAAAAACTGAGATGGCTTTCCAAGATTTCTTCCCAATCTACCCCTCTTCCCAGATCACCAACTGAAATTTATCTTCCTAATCCTTCCCAGTATCTAATAAATCTTGAGTAGGAAGCTTTTTTCCAAGTTGAGCTTAGTTCCTACATTTTTATTTAGACCTAGTTTCTTCCTTAATGAGGTAGGGAAAATTGTAATGTGTTTTTGTTTTTGATAATTTTTTTTCACTGATTATAAAAGAAATAAATGATCATGTGGAAATCTTAAAAATATATAAAGGTACTGGTAAAAACTCAGCCCTGCAATCTAGAGGTCAACCACTTTTTCTGGATATCTATTGCTAAATAAAAAATCATCCCTAAATTCTGTTGCTTTAACGACAATGATCATTATGATCTCTCGATTCTGGGGTTGGCTTGAAAAGCGAGGTGCTCACGCTTGGGGTCTCTGTGCTGCAGACAGAAAGCAGCCAGGCCTTCTTGGTTCACAAGTCTGACAAGAGATGTTGGCTGTCTGCTGAGACCTCCACTGAGGCTTTGCCTGGCCTTGTACACGTGGTTTTTTCATGTGCTTCCTCCTGACATGGTGTCTGTGTTCCTGATACAAGCACCTCAGAGAGACCAGGCAGGGCTATTCCACCCCCACTGACTCAGGGAGAGGAAGCCACCTCTCACTGGCAGAACCAAGGTCATAGAGTATGAAGAGCCTAGGGACTGGGAGATCTTGTGGGCCATACTAGGATAAAACATCTGCCACACTGCTACTTCTGTTTAACAGCTATTTCCTTCTTGTGCCTTTTCAGGGCACATGTATGTTAACATAGGTAGAATCAAACTATATGTGCAATTTTGGATCAGGCGTCCTAAAAATCTCACATTATGTCCTGAGCATTTCTGTTTATTAAAGTTTTAAAACACACACACACACAAATTGTATCCATTTAATGATGTCATGGTAGAAAAGATAGGAGCTGTTTAATAGCGACATAGTTATTAATGGCTTTACCCAAGCGGCTGCAGTAACAGAAAGCCAGAGATATTTGTTTGTTTTGTTCACTGCTATATGCCAAGCGCCTAGCACAGTGCCAGGCATGTGTAGACACCCAGTTACCACTGGCTTAATGGATGGTTGGATGGGTGGATGGGTGGATGGATGGATGGATGGACAGATGGATAAAATGATCTGAGCTGAGCCCCTCCCTCTTCTGTTTCTATCCTCCTGACAAGAAAGATGCCAAGTCCCTAACAGCACCACCAGGCTCCAAGATATCCAGGCAAGTCTGTTCCATGACTGTGAGGCAGGCTGGTGAATCCCAGGAAGGAAACTCTCTCATCCTTGGTGCAATTTATAAACCTTCTGTCACTCTGTAGCTTGAAACCTCCCAGGCCACTTTGCCCTTGGATGAGTTCAGATACCTGCTGTGTGGGCCTGGTTGGCTGCTGTCCCTGAGGTTCAGGAATCACCTCAGGGCTCCTTGCCTAGGAGCTGCTTCCACTCAGCTTGGCCTCCCACACAGCCCTCACCACCAGGATTTGTAGCCCAGATGGGGTAGGGATGCTGGGTGTGTCCAGAAACACAAAGCCTCCTAAAGCCTCCAGAAAACTCTGCCCACTTAGTCAGGAGGGCACACACCACCCGGCTAGGAGGGCTTTTCCAGGGTCCCCTCGCCAGCTCCCACTGCACACCCCAAACCAGGCCCAGCCTAGAGGTCACTGGAGAACCCAGGAGCGGGGGCGCCTGACGTGGGGAGTGGGGTCTGCCTCAGCCCCTTAAGACAAACTTGATCTTCTGCCTGTTTTAAAGACCGACTCTCTCCCTTGTTCTCCAGTCCAGGGTCCAGGGTCCTGCTCTGAATGGGCCTAGGAAACCTGGACTTCAGTCTGCTGCTAGCATGGAACAGAGTTCAGATGCAAAGCATCACATTGTAGCATATGAAATGGCTGTCTGAGAAGCTAAATATGGTTGCACTTTGGCAATGTCATGTGATTCAATTTCAGTCGTAAAAGGTGGATGCTTCTATCTGCTTCCACAGCCAGGTCAGACGAAGACGGGGCAGCCTGGAGCCTCCACTCTGCCTCTTGGGCCCCCAGGACTCCACTTCACATCCAGCGACCAGGAAAGTGACTCTAGGGCAGAAGGACAGGCATTGAGGCAGCAGCAGGCAGCTGTGGACCCAGATGAGACAAGCTTGTGTTTTCCCTGCCTCCCATCCTTGGGAGCAGCTGGGACTGCAGTCAGAATGAGAGGAAACCAGGCACCAGAGTGGGAAAGACATCAGTCAGAAAAACGCTATCCCACTCCTCCTGGGTCTTGGTGAAAGAAAAGGTGCCTGCAGTGGATAGAAACCTGAGTTATTTGATGACTGCGGAGCCAGGAGCATGGTTAAAAAGCCTCTGTGTTTGCTAAGCCCCAAGAGCTGCAAGCTACACTGGGGGGAGGGGTCTCACACACTACCCCTTCCCCAACAGTGCTGCAAAAGCCCAGGCAGAGGTCCCTTCCCTCCCCAATGTCAGGTGAAGGTCACTCACCACCAGCCCTCAGTGAACATGCTGTTCCCATTACTACCACCAGAGGGGAGTGCAAACTTAGACATAGAAGAAGGTGGGCTGAGATTCTCCACCCCAGCCTTCAGGAGGGGCCTCCACGGCCCCTGTGCCTGGGAGGCAGCCAGGAAGTTGGGAGCAGAGGGAGCCAAAAATATGAAAGATGGGGCACGAGGGCAGGAGCTACCCAGAGCGGCCCTGCCAGCTCCCGCACTTTCAGTGGTCTCACCTTTGGCACAGGTCAGACCCAGGTTACAGGGCAGGGGATCAGTACTGCGATAGATGTGCCAACCTCTGGACACCTGTCATCTCCCCTAAGCCTCCGCAAGGTGAACGCTATCAGAATACCCCAACACCATTTACAGGAGGGCCGTGCTGGGGAGGTATGCAGTGACCCATCCAGCTGCTGATGGTACAGCTGGGCTTTCAACCCAGGGTCCCAGACACACAGTGCCAGAGTGTGTGCTCCCCACTGTGCTCCCAGTACCACCCAGCCATCCTTGCTCTCCTCTCAGCCTGCTGGGGTGCCAGGAGTGGCTTGGTAGGGTCCCTGTGCCTGGAAGCACAAAACCCCCTTCGAACTTGGATTTCAAAGTAACGTGAATCAACAAGTGAGGCTTCAGGTTCTATTTAGCACACGCAGCCTGTGAAACAGACACCAGAATCAGGGTCCTGTGGGCAGTTTGATCCCTGTTGTCCCAGGCCTC